ATCCTCTGTCCCCGTCTAACTAACTGCTCCCTGAGGGCGAGCCTGTAAATATGAATATGTTCCTATAGTCAATTTGGGTGATTAAATAACATGTTGTAATAAAATTACCAAGTGATGCTGAAGTGCCCACAACACACACTTCCCTTGTATTTTTTCTTCAGCTGTTAGTGTTAAAGGAGCGCAGTATTTTTTAGTCCTCCAGGAGCAGTTTTGGGTACAAGTCCTCAAGCTCTATTCCCACTGCAGCTCGTTAGCTGAGCTGCCTGGACTACAACTGTACTGGACTACGACTGAGCACACACACACATTCGGTCAGGCGCTTTTGGGCTTGGCGCAGCGCAGGCAGCCAACTTATAAAGCAGTCCACATACAGTGTAAGCCTGTAAGAACCTAATGGTTTAAATAGAGACAGACAGAGAGACAGGGATTATAATAGTCAATATAGGCCTATTATACTTTATCCCTTTGCTCTTACTCATAATGGTGTTTCTATACCGCTGCTCAGGGCTGCTGCTCAGCCGCTGTCTGGAGCCTTTTTAAACCTCATGATCCTATCTTTACTCCTGCAACTTGGTACGCTATTGCTGAGGAATATTGGGTAAAACTTTGCCCTCTAGATTTTTTGTGTGTCCTGACCCTGACCCTTCAGAAACAGTCAACCTTTTCACCTCAGCTTCTATTTTCTTACCTTCCACACTTCCTACGTAACAGTGCTGCTATGCCCCTTTTTGTTTGAGCTTTAACATGCTTATGTTCAGGCAAGTATTGGGAAACAGTATGAAATATTTAAAAGTTATTGAACACCTTTTTTTTTCATTGTAAGATTGGATGAAATTTGTAGCAGATGTCTCTTTTGGACCTAATTTTTCACTAAATTTCATCGAGTTAAGATGGCTTCTTTGCTTTCATGTTATTCAAGTGCACTGTTACATTCACAATCAAACTTTCTGTAGTTGTTTTTAACTCTCAAACGTCCTTTTTCATAACTCTACATAAAGTAAAACAGAAGAACATTTTCAGTGCCGCTATAGGAGTAACTGTTATTTGTGCAGCTCTTGGTACAGTTGTTTCTGGAAGTGGGTCAATGGGCCTCACTGTAAGCAGCCCTAATCTATAGAGACATGGAACTGGACATCATGATTCATAGAACATCATTTCCCCTAAACCACAAATGCACAGCTGTGAAGTGAATAAAGACAGTTTTCTAATTTAAAAAAAAAACACACTTCTGACCTCTGAATCATCTATAAATGAAAAACTGTAACTCTGTAACATGTGGATGGGCTAATTCACTCCAGTTAGATAATATATTTGTACTCTTGTTCTCTACCTCTACCCGTCGTCTGTTGCTCTCTCTCTCTCTCTGTTAATCTCT